AATATTGCTCCGAAATAGTTTAGCCCATCACCATAATTTAGATTAAATCACCAAGACGTATAGAATGAACTCAAACACGAGCTGTAGGTGCTTTTTGAAAATGCCCAGAGATAAAACATCTTCTCAAGGTAACATAAAATGTTGCAATAAAACATTAAAGTTATTTGCAGTCTGTTTCCGTCTTGGCTTAACATTTAGCAGCAGGTAGCCTGGCTTCAAAGAAATATATGTCAGCTGAACGTTTTAACCCTGCATACCACAGTGGAGGATTGTGATGTGTTAATATGTGTGCTACAGTATGTTTTTTTTTTTTTCCATCTGATATGTTTTAGTCATTTTATAGATTGCAAAACTATCAATATCTCAATAAATGTTGAAAATCCTGTCAAAAATACTGGGCAGCTTAAAAAAATATCAGTGTTTACTGTTTTTTCAGACTATAAGGCGCACCAGATTATAAAACACAATATCAATGAATGGGTCTGTTTTCATACATAAGGCACACCAGATTATAAGGTACATTAAGCAAAACTAAAACATTTTGACAGATTTTTGAGCGCCGTGTACCACATAAAATCGATTCGAGGTCAGTAAGCACAACTTAATACATAAGGTGCACCGAATTATAAGGCTCACTGTTGATTTGTGAGACAATTAAAGGATTTTAAGTGTGCCTTATAGTCCAAAAAATATGTTTTTTAAGCTACCCAATATATCTGATTATGTAGAAAAATATATGTATATTGATATTAAATTTAAAAATTTCAATTATCTCTTTTACAAACCTGTACAATTACAGGAGAGCTTGACTGATATTTATAATTAAAAATTCAATGGAAAATAAAAGTTTGGTAAATATTGTGAAGACAATTTAAATCAAAACTCACTCTGACTGGGATTTGACAGCACTGGTCTGGGTTAGCAAACAACCATTGCAGTGTAAAGCATTTGATAGCAGTTCCTGTCTGAATTCACATTTGTATGCTGAGAGCAAACCCAACAGAGGAAACTCCAAGTAGTATACTGGTGGTCATGCAGACATATTTTATCATGCACACATGAAAAACGAAATAAAAACTCTGTTTAGCATTTTCAAACATGCCAGAAAATTTATGCAAATGGGTTCAAGGGTTTGCTTGTGTTCTCTGGAGTCCAACTGTACTTGACTGCTGAGAATATTAAGTCGTCATATGAAAATAAATAACTGAAGAAGAAAACCTTTATATTTCAATCGTTTAAATCATGTATTGGAAATAAATGTGTTTTCCATGATAAAAAAGTCTGTGAGGAGGCTTTCAAGGTCCCAAGACTTTTTGAAGTCACTTAACATAATTTTCCACGTGTGTCAAATGAAACCGGAGATGATAATTGGAGGTGACCTCTGTTTCAAAAAATACTGCAGCTCACTGGCCATTGATTCTTGGGAAAAGTTCAAATGTTTCTCTCTCCCTTCAACTCAATGTTGAGTATGTGATGAGAGAAAAGGGGGTATGTGTGTACTGTTTGTAACTCCACAATCCACAATGATGACATTTGTCTATAAGAATTATTTCATTCATTTATTGTCTAGCTGTCTCTCCTTCTCTTTTTTGTTTGTTTTATTACTTACACCTCCGTTTTATCATTTCATTTATCCAAAGCTCTTTTGTTTGTTTTACTGATTGTAAAATATTTGATGCCATTTTCCTTAACTAAACTAACTAACTAAATTAATTTTGCAATGTTGCAGAAAGCTAACAAAACAGTTACGATTGATCTGTGTTACCTCCACGTTACCTGTAAGAGACCTATAAAGATGTATAGAGAAAATGATGTTGGCTACTACAGTATGTGTAGATGCTGTTGCTAATAGAATGGATCCTATATAGAGGATAAAATAAGCTGGGGCTGATTCTCAGTTATTTAGTAATATGTGTGAAGACAATGAGAATAAAAGTCTCGTGGAGGGATTAAGGACTCTGAAAGAAATGGTAGGTTCATAAAATGGCAAGGAGGCCAAAGGGAGGTAAAAACAGTAACACGAAAAACACAAAAGATGAAACGAGAAGGGTGTGAGTTACTCAGAACATTTTAATTAAGGTGAGATAGGAGAGAAAAGGAAGCTTGACTGTGTGCGCTTGTCATTAATGAGGCTCTCAGCAGGGATGAAAAGCCTTAAACAGGAGTCGAAACAAAAAGGTAAAATGGAAAAGAAAGCGTGGGTTAATTGGTATTCTCAATAGAATATGTTGTTAATTACATTAGGGCATTATTGGGGAATAGTGGTAATGGACTTATTTGCTTATAAAATTGCGGTCAGGCCAGCTGTTGTCTAAAATGCAGAATTTGATCCAGCAATGATGGATGACATTAACATAAATACATCTAACTTCTTATGGTATTCAATTTACAGGAGGTAGTCAATGGATGGACTGATAAAATTATATTATGATTACAATACAGTATAGAAAATCATCACAATTATCACACTTTCAAAAATCTTATATATATATATATATATACACACACACACACACACACACACACACACACACACACACACACACACACACACACACACACACACACACACACACATACAGTAGTCCCTCGATACTTAGGGGTTCAAGTTTCACGGACTCGCTCTTTCTCAGTTTTTCTACTTAAGATAGTGCACGACACACGATTATCAACTTTATTATTACTCATGTGATTGGGATGGTACGGGATAAACAGTTAATGAAAAAATGTAAAAATACCTCAGACAGGCGTTGTCATTTTGTAGTTTTCTTTCAGTAAGCCTATACTATAATGCAAGTCAAAAGAACTACAATTCCCAGAAGCCAACAGTGCCTCTGGCCACTGCTTTCTGCCGAAACAGAAGGATAGTTTTGAAACACAAAGTCAAAAGTAACATCTATCTAAGCCAGGGGTGGGCAATTATTTTTTCCATGGGGCCACATGAGAAACAGCAAATATTGTGGAGGGCTGGCACAAATGACTTTTTCATTCAACCTTTATTTAGACAGGTAAATCCCATTGAGCCTCGAGGACTCATTTACAAGAGAGACCTGATTTCAACTTAACTCAATACTGCATAATAATAGTATTTCATTATTAAAAGCAGTACATAGCACTGTTTTAACAAGCTGGTAAGAGTATTTGTTATGATTAAGCAATGAAAAAACGAGGTTTCCTTACAAAAAATGTAATTTATTCAATTAAATTTCCCAGTACAATGGTAAACTGTTAACATTTTTACCATTTGTGACGTTATATTAATGATCATTTTCAGTCACATTCACCCCAAAACTCATCTTGAGTTTTATATACTGCTGGGAAAAGTTCTTAGCTTTGTAAATATATCACAATATTGTCTTTGTACTCCAAATATTATGAAACATCATATAATAGTGATCGTCACTGAACTGTGATTTCGAGTCCCGGTTCTTTACGTGCCTACATTTGTAGTCTAAAAATCTCATTTGGTGTTTATCAGTTCTTTTTTCTTGTTTAGTGAGAGAAGTCTAGTCTCTGTTGGGCTTTAACGGAAATGTTAAAGTCAGGTTGAAGGTCTGAGGTGGAGATGTGAAGCAAAGCTGACATCATGAGTGAGAGAGGATCTATATCTGGATTTGGTTAACTTCATTTGTTTACATATGTATTTTGTAATTCCCCTTACGGGGGCCGCTGAGAGTCAACCAAAGGGCCGCATGTGGCCCTGGGGCCGTACAATGCCCAGGTCTGACTAAGCTCACAGAACTGGCACGGAAGTTGCAAATAATCCTGAAGCTTCTTGAAGCCCAACTATCCACACACACATCAACCTGGACAGGGCGGTGGGCCTCATCGCTGCAGGGTAGGTCTGCAGAACCAGAACTGAGCCTGACCAGAATCGAGCTGCTAGTCTGCAGAGCTGGTGATTACCCATATACATTTTTGCCATACTGTATATATGTACATTGTTAAAATTATGTACGTTTAAGAGTTTAGAAGATTAAGGACATTGCAAGAGTGTGGGAAAGGTTTATAAAGTCTCTCTCTCTCTCTCATATATATATATATATATATATATATATATATATATATATATATATA